CCCCCAATTTTTATTTATGGCCCCCACCCACCGCTTAGGGGTGGAGGCCGGGGGGAGGACATTAGGTCCCCCCCCCAATTTTTATTTATGGCCCCCACCGACCGATCAGGGTTGGAGGCCGGGGGGGAGGACATAAGGTTCCGGCCCTCAATTTTTAATTATGGCCCCCACCCACCTCTCAGGGGTGGGGGATGGGGGGGAGGACAGTAGGTGTCCCCCCCTTATTGTTATTTAGGGCCCCCACCCATCGCGCAGGGGCGGTGATGGGTGGAGGACATTAGGTCCCCCTCTTATTGTTATTTAGAGCCCCCACCCACAGGGGTGGGGGCTGGAAGGGGAGGACATTATTGCTATTTTCTGACCCCATCCTTCCTTGTACTATAGGCACTTTTGACATTGGACATATTGAGTTATCTGGGGATATGTTGGACATATAGGTTAAATAGAGGTCTACCTACTGGAAGCTGGATCCTGGTCTTGGGTCCAGAGTGGGTGGACGACCGCGAGACCCCAACCAAGCTGCGGCTGTTCGTGGGGCCTGCGGTGGTTATGGTGTCTAGTGGAGTGCTTGGAGCCCTCGGGAAGCACTAGGAGCATCCGTCAACGGGTAACTAAAATAATAGATCAGAGTGGTGCAGTAGACATTGCATACCTACATTTCAGTAAAGCTTTTGACACTGTTGCACCAGTGGCGGATTCAGGGGGGGCAACGGGGCAATTGCCCCCCCCGAGATTCTCCCCTGCCGGCTAGTGCAGGGCTGGCATTGTCCAAGTGCCAGCCCTGCAATGTGCCTGCGGACCTGGCAAGGGAGATCAGAGATCTCCCTGCCCTGTCCGCAGGCATAGTGCTGGCAGCCAACAGGGGAGGGAGGGAGAGAGGACCCGGGAGCTCAGCCTGCAGCTCCTCCGGGTCCTCCTCTTGCGAGCACGGAGCGTTGCCGCGGTTACCACAGCAACGCTCCAAATCTCACGAGAGTGAACTCAAGCCCTGGGGCTATGGGCTAGAGTTCACTCCTACCACTGGGACCACCAATGAATCCCCACCGGACCACCAGGGACTAAGAAATGTCCCCCCTCCTCCCTCAGTAAAGGTAAGAAGGGAGAGGGGACATAATGAATATTTATTTTATTAAATACATTTTTTTGTATTATTAAAAAGCCTCCCTACCCTCCTTCCTCCCCCATACAAACACTGCCCCCATACACACACTACATACACTGCCCCCATACACACACTACACACACTGCCCCACAAACACTGCCCCCATACACACACTACACACACTGCCCACAAACACTGCCCCCATACACACACTACACACACTGCCCCACAAACATTACCCCCCATACACACACTACCCACACTGCCCCACAAACACTGCCCTCCATACACACACTGCACACACTGCCCCACAAACACTGCCCCCCCATACACACACTACACACACTGCCCCACAAAGCACTGCCCCCATACACACACTACACACACTGCCCCACAAACACTGCCCCCATACACACACTGTCCCCCATACACACACTACACACTGCCCACAAACACTGCCCCATACACACACTACACACACTGCCCCATACACACACTGCCCCCAAACACTGCCCCCCCATACACACACTGCCCCACAAACACTGCCCCCCCATACACACACACTACACACACACTGCCCCACAAACACTGCCTCCCATACACACACTCCTCCAAACACACATTCAGTGCCCCCCATACACACACACTGCAAGCCTCACACACACACACTGCACTGCTCACACACACACACTGCCCAACACATACACTGCCCCCTAACACACACACTGCAACTCTGGAACAGTGGGTGGAGGTGATGGTACAAGCCCACAACTCCATAGTGCAGCACTCCACCTCCTTAGACCAGCACCTTATTGCAATGGAAATGCAGGTGGAAGACCTCTCCAATCACACCAGGCAAAATAATCTGCGCATTAGAGGTTTCCCGGAAACCCAGAATGAAGGCCCCCTTATCCCACTCCTGGAGGCCTACTTCAGCAAGCTGCTTCCAGACACACCAAAAACCCATTGTGCAATGGACCGGGCACACAGGGCTCTGCGTGCCCGGCGAACGTAAACAGCGGTGCCTAGTCTGCTTTCACCACTACACCACTAAGGAAGCGATTCTGAGATACAACAGGCACCACGAGCTTACCTACCAAGGCAAACCCATCTCTCTCTTTCAGGATCTGGCGCCAAGCACGCTTCAGAGGCGGCGAGAGTGGAGACCGCTGACTGATCTTCTGCGCCAACACGAAATCCGCTTCACATGGGGCCACCCGTTCAAGATAGTAGCCTTCAAGGCGGGAAGGACAGTTACCTACTCCAGGTGGCGACCCACTGAAATTCCTCCGAGACCTCGCCATAACTCCCCCACAGGACCTCGCTCTACCGGGCACAGCTCGACGACCCCTCACGACCCTTCCAAGGGACTGGTACACAGTTACAGCAACGACTGCCCAGGAGGGCTAGAGAAGCGGGGACTGCCCCGCTATCCTCATACTTCACAGAGACTTTGGTGTACCATGATG